CATGGGAACCTGCATGACTCACGGCTGTCACATCCATGAAGCCAGCCCTAACTATGGCAAGGGGCAGCCAATCAATTCTGGGAAGCTAAAACAGTCTTCCAACAAGATGAGGAAAATCTCAAAATGAGACTTGAAACATTATTTTCTCATCTGTATTATGTAAAACTGGGCTTTGCATCTTCACAGTGGAAGAGGTGTCCTTTGAGTTGTCACTTGTGCCTGTTAAGCAATACTTGGCAATCAACTGCTGAAACCTCGAGGATCCAGAACTATTGGCATGAGAGAAACTGAGCCTTCTCTAATTATCCTCCTATTTAAGAATTTTGCATTTCTATTGCTATGAAGTCTCAAACTTTGTGATGGCATATAAATCTTGCTATTGTGCTTAGAGTTAGAATGACTGTTGCTTTGATGTCATTGTGAAAACATTTACTGAAAAGTTTACACAATTATCTTAAAATATACATTCGTGAAACATTACCCTGAATTTTTTTAGTTTATGGCTTAGTTATAACCCTCTTTTGGTAACCAGACCAAACAGACCAAACACAAATAGTGTACACCCTGTCTTGACCCAGTGTTCTTCCCCCCTCCCCAGGTCAAACACTTTAGTTATGCTATACCTGTGCTGGGTTAAGTTTTATTTTGTATGTGTATGTGTATGTCTGTCTGTGTGTGTCTGTGTGTGTGTGCGCGTGTGTGTGTGCGTGTGTGTGTGTTTGTGTATGCCTGTAATATTTGGTTCAGCTTTGGGTCTTCTTGAGCTCCCAATTCCTTCATACAGTGGAGAAAAGAAGAAGAATGCTTATTTTCTAGGACTGTTCATTTATTTACAAATACTTAATGAATGTACCCTATAGGTAAGACACTGTTCCAGCTGCTGGGGGATACACCAGCGGAAATAAAAACTTTTGCTCCCTTGCATCTGACAGTTTAATTGAGACAGATGATTGATGATATAAATTAAGCAAAATATGTGGTATGTTAGACGGTATTGAGTGCTATGGAGAAAAAATTTAAGTAGGAAAGAGGAGTCGGGAAAGGTAGGCAGCAGGGGTTGCAGGTTTAAGTAGGGTGGTCAGGGAAGCTCTCAGTGAAAAGGAGACATTGAGTAAAAGGTATAAAGGAGGAAGGGGAGAAAGACGTGAGGCTCTCTGAAAAGAAATTGTTCCAGAGAAAAGCAAATGCAAAGTTCCAAGACAGCCATGTCACCTGGAATTGAATGGCAAAGCAAGGAGGCCAGTATAACTGCCTGGAATGAAGTGGAGGAGAATATTCTGAGGTCAGGGGAGTGCCACATTGCACAGGGCCTCTAAGGTCATTGGAAGGATTTTGATTTTCCTCTGGGTATGTGGGAGCTGGTTGAGTAAAGGAGCAACATGATCTGATTCTTATGTTCACAGGATCACTCTGAGAGCTCCGTTGAGATTGGAATGTGCTGAGTAAGAGGAAAAATGGAAAACCAGCACGGAGACTTCTGAGATAACTCAGGCAGGAGATGGTGGTGGTTCACACCAGGGTGACAGCAGTAGAAACTATGATGAGACACAGCCACATTCAGGATGAGGCGATGTTAGAGGGGAAAACATGTGCTGTCAGGTGTGAAGAAAGAGAAGGCCCAGATACTCTGAGGTCTTTGCTCTTAGCAATTGGAAGGAAGAGGTTGGCATTAACTGAAATGAAGAAGACCACAGAAGAATGCCCAGGGCATCTGTTTGGGAATGTAAAGTTGGAGATGTTTTTAGACAACCAAGTAGAGGTGGTATGTAGGTACCTGGATATGTGAAACAGGAATTAAGAGGAGAAATCTAGGCTCTTGAAAAATATTTAGGAATTATTAGCTTATTAGTGATATTTAAAACCATGAGACTCAGTGAAATCACCAACAAAGTGAGTATAGCAAGAGAAGACAAGACATCTGAGATCCGGGACCTAGGAGGCTCCAGGATTATGTCAGGGAAATGGCCAAGTATAATGGCTCACGCCTATAATCCCAGCACTTTGGGAGGCTGAGACAGGAGGGTCAGCAGGAGGGTTGCTTGAGCTAAGGAGTTCCAGACCAGCCTGAGTTGCATAGTGAGAACCCGTCTCTACAAAAAATTAAAAATTAGCCAGGCATGGTGGTGTGTCCCTAGAGTCCCAACTCTTCTGGAGGCTGAGTTGGGAGAATCGCTTGAGCCCAGGAGGTAGAGGCTAGAGTGAGCAAGGATCATGCCACTGTACTCCAGCCTGGGTGACAGAGTGAGACCCTGTCTTACAAAAAAAAAAAAAAAAATGGTGGGGAGGAATGTGGAGCTAACAGCCAAGGAGATGGAGAGGAACTACCTATGGGGTCAGAAGAAAGCCAAGCCTGCATGACATCCTTGAAGCCAAATGAAAAAAGAGTTTCAAGTAGGAGAGAGCAATCAACTGTGTCAAATGACTAAACTGGGCCAACTAAGATAAGAAGACTGAGAATCCACAATGGGATCTAGCAACGTTGTGGGTCGTGAAGACCTTTCATGAGAGCTGTGTCCACAGAGCGGTGGGCCTGGAGGCACAATTCAGGGGTTTTAATGAAGAGTCAGGAGAAAGAAATTGAAGACAGCAAGTGTATGCATCTCTGAGAAGAGTTTTGTTTAAAGGGGAACCGAAGGTACAGACCAAATGAGATACTGTGTGTGAAAGCACTTTGGAAATTATAAAAGCCCTCTGTAAATGCTGAGTGTAACTGTAAGATCTGAGACTTGTTGGATACTAAGCATATGGCTTTCAAAATATCAACCAGACTCAAGAATTTCTGTGGCCAGTTAGAGCTGCAGCATCTCAAGAAAACTGTGTTCTCACTATACCCAGAGCTGTTCCAAGTAACCACTAAATCACCAGGAAATCAGAGTTCAAAGACTCCTGACGGTGATAAGCAGTCTTCTAAACTCCTCCTTCTAACCTCCTTCTAACAATGACCCCATAAAGTACAGGAGGAGGAAAAAGCCGAGGTCTCACACACAAAGGAAAGGTACAGTTACTGATTAAGAAAAGGGTTCTTTGTTCCTTTATGGTTGCAGAGCTTTTCTTGAAAAAGTCCCAAGTTAATCAGTACATCTTATCTGATTACAGAATCAAAATATTACAAAATGAGAAATTTACGGTAAGCAATGCGTCTTCACCTAGTGCCAGTAAGAATGAACACCCCTTACGGTATCAGGGAATGTTGCAATTGATCAAAACGAGCATCTATTCTGTTCAGTTCAGAATATCATGTTAATATTTTATTCCCGGAAATATGGACAAAGGTACAAAAGTTTCCTACAAGACAGAGCCCATAGGCTCAAAGTGGGGTGTTTTATAGGTAAGGCACAGAGCCCACAGGCTTCAAGTGAGTATTTGATCTCAGGTTGCTCCATCTCTAGGGGACTTGGGTCTACTGACCACTGATAGCCAGGCTGCCCAGCTCTAAGCACTGAGAACGAGAGGGCCTTGGGTCACATTCAGAGCAAAGCAACGTGAGCTGAGCCTGAGGTGGGAAGACAGTCACCTACCCTTTCACATAGATCCGTCTACCAGTTTGTTCATTAACCTGCACCAGGCAGTACATGCCATACCAGTGCAGCCTAACAGAAACATAATGCGAGTCACAAATACAAGCCTTATATGTGATTATACATTTTAAATTTCTAGTCGCCACATTCAAGAGTAAAATGAAGCAGGTGAAATAATTATTAATAATACACTTTATTTAACAGTGTGTATGCCCTAAGACATTCCAACAAGCAGTCAATATAAAAAGTAATGAATGAGAATGTAAAATTAATTTACATTTTTTGTGGTACAAAGTCTTTGAAATCCAGGGTGGATTTGACACTTCCAGCACATCTCAGTTCAGAGTAGCCACATTTCAAGTGCACAATAGCCACCTGTAGCTAAGGGTGACCCTACTGGACAGTGCAGTTCTGGGCATGAGGATTCCACAGGAACAAACCACATCTCTTGCCTTCTAAAATGGATAGGCCCTATGGGGTAAAGAGGACTCAGACGAGTAAACAGGGCATTAGAATCACACCCAAATCAAGTTGAAGTTCATGGCCAGCAAGAAAGTAGCTCCCAACCAAATCTGACGCAGTGGGGGTCAGAAAGACTGCTTCAGGAAGTGAAATCTTTGAGGAGCCCTCCAAAAGTAACTGTCTGAGGGACTGAGAGGAAGGAAAGGGATAGCAACAGAGGAGCATTCCTGGGAATAAGCGAGAACAGGGAATGCTCTGGGACTTTCAAGTCATTCATTTTTGCCAGAATATAGAGTTTGAAGAGGTGAATAAAAACAAAACCCTCAACGTAGAGCTTGACCAGACCAGGAAGTGCTTTGTGAGCCATAATGAGAAGGCTGGGTTTCCTCCTGAGGGCGCTGGGAGTCCTGAGAGAGTTCTGAGCCGGGGTTCCTGGCTGCTCGCTTTTCTAAGCCTGTCTACTCCAGCCCAGTCTGTCACAGTGAGGAACGAAACCCCACAGAGGTGAGGTGAGCCGCTTAGGGTTTCCAACTGGCTGGTGGCAGAGCTGAGGCCGGAACTCCCATCATGGTCATGATCTCTCCAGGCCCTTCCACTGCCCGCGTGGCAGGAGCCATGTGTGTTGGAGCAGAAGGGGAAGCACCGTTGCTCCCTGCAGCAGGTGGAGGCAACATGGTGATCACACCAGGAGGCGAGGCAAGAGGATGAGGAACTAAACCACAGGGAACAAAAGGGAGAGTACAGCTGTCCCAGAAGACAAGCAGGCAACCAGGGCCCTGCTCACCTGCCTGAGCCTGGGGGGTATAAAGGGAGAAGTGCCATCTCTGGTGAGAAGGGTAAGTGCAAGCAAGACAGGGCCATCAGCCTGGGACCTGCCAGCTGAAACTCCAGGCCTCCTCTGGAAATGCGGATGGGGCAATCTGCCTAGAAATTCAGCAAGTGAGGCAATTTGCCTGGAATGCGCTCATGTTTATTTTTGTTTAGTTTTGTTTTTTCCCTTTTTCTCTTCTCTTTCTTTTTCTATGTTCCCCCATTCACAGTACAGGCACAGGGCCTGAGCTGAGGTGTACATGGGGTGGGTTTACTCAACCGTCTCTTTTCAGATAGTCAGTGTGAGAACACTGCCTGTAGCAAGCATCAGGAGGCCTCGTGTTTGTTTTAATATAAAAATACCATTTGAAATAATGCTAGTCTCCAGGAGACTAGCAGAGCTCCTGGAGCACTTCTCAGGGTCAGAAAGGTTATGTGGTTTCTCTAACAACACCCAGGATGTTGGCGGAGAAGCCAAGGTTAGGGCCCGTGTCTTCTGTCTCCTTATCCTCCAGAGGGTTAGAACCATACCATCAACATCATCACCTAGCTATTTCACTGCTATGCCTTAATGCCCTTGAGTGTAGCTCTGTTTATAACTACAAAGCTAGCCTTTTAAACGCAAATATTCCCAGGTAGGGTCCAACCTTGAGATATCATCCATTAACAGAGATTAAACAAAATCAGGAATATGACACAGAAAAGATTAATGACCAGGGGCCAGAATGGAAGACCAGGAGGGCATTAAGGGGCTCTGAGGGCAGAAGGAGGCATGAAAGACAGCTTTGCCCTCTTTACCGAATTTCCTAGAACCACAGAGAAAATCATGGATTCTCCACTGAGCTGAGTGGCTGGAGATATGTCCTGGAGGGCTCAGGACAGCAGGACAGCAAATGGCACTTTCCCTAGGCACTGAGTAGCAATTGACCCCCAAAAAAATCAGATGATGAGGAAGGGAATCTGGAGATGGTGAGGGATGAGTCAGGAAGGGCAGTCAACACTGTCAGCACTCTAGACAAAGCTACACAGGGAGATGAAGAGGGTGGTTGCGAGGGGCCTGGGAAGAGGAGCGGGCATGGGGGGGTCCTCCACGCAGAAAAAAGAGGACCAGAGACTGGTGGGTTGGGAAGAGCTGGGCAAGGGCAGTGGTACTGTGATGGCAGGAGAAAAGAGGATGTTTTAGGAGCAGGAGTCTGAGGCACTGGCCAGAAGCCTATGAGAAATGGTCACACTGGTAGTGGAAATGCAGGTTGGGCCTGGGATAGCATTGGGATAGTAGGAAGTATGAGAGGAACTAAGATCTGTGATCAAAAGTAATGTAATAAAGAGCAGGGACATGGAGGATAAAGCCAAGGGTGATCACCTCTTTAGGGCCTGGAAGAGGAAAGAAGGCACTGAAGGAAATGAAGACACACCCCACAAGCAGCCACTGGAACAGAGACGCTCACTGGCTCGCAACACCTTATCAAGAGGGTGCAATGTGGGAAACTGATATCAACCACAACGCTTATCAGCGACTAGTCTATCAGGACCCAGCAGCTCACAGAGAACAAAGAAGTCCCCAAAAGGTGAGAACAGGTGGGTCAAGGGTAACAGCTACCTAGCTGGGACTCTGCCAAGGAGGAAACGTTCCCACGAGCACCTGCAGCACTGCTTTTCCACAAGGCCGATCAGGAGGACTGCTCTCACTTAGAGGGTCTTCCTCAGAGGATGCAGCAGGGCCTGTTTGGAGAACTGTCCTAAGCCTGCCAGGCTGAGGCAGGGCCCCTTCTCAGTTTCCCCACAGAGCCTCTGGTTGCTGTTCTGTAACATCTCTTGGGCAACCGTGTATGTCCACAGTCTCTGGCACAATGTCCCCTGTGTAATAGACAAGCCACACTTGCAAGGACAGATGGAAGGAGAGGATAGAGTCACTCAGTGTAGTTCCAGCATGGTCTTTCCCCTGCGCAAAACTATGCTATAGTAAAAGAAAACAGAATGCATTTTCCCATTATACAAAATTTGACAAAAGAAAATGCAAAACACATGCCTGATGCCAGTAGTTAGAATAGAGGTGGGGCTTCAGTCTAGGAAGAGGGGACCAGGGCAGCAACAGGAGGGAGGTTTTTGGGGGTGCTGATGCTTTGCGTCTCGGTCTGGGGCTGGTTACATAAGAAGGCTCATAATGAATTTGGTGAAAATGCATCAAGCTGCACTCTTATGGTTTGTGCATTTTTCTGTATATATGTAATACTTTTATCGAAAAGTGGGCCAGGCGCAGTGGCTCACGCCTATAATCCCAGCACTTCGGGAGGCTGAGGTGGACAGATCATGAGGTCAGGAGTCTGAGACCAGTCTGGCTACTGTGGTGAAACCCTGTCTGTACTAAAAATACAAAAATTAGCCAGGCATGGTGGTACGCACATGTAATTCCAGCTACTCAGGAGGCTGAGGAAGAATCACTTAAACCTGGGAGGCAGAGGTTGCAGTGAGCTGAAATAGTGTCATTGCACTCTGTATGAACCCAAATACAAACGGAGCATAAGATTCCATGATGAGCCACCATGACATATCCAGGGAACTAAGACTTCCAGGACAAGACACATGGGTGACAAAGCGAGACTCCATCTCAAATAAATAAATAAATAAATAAATATAAAAAGTGTACTTTTTAAAAGCTGTTGTAAGAGAGAGCTCTGTGTGTTTGCGTGGGAGGTCAAGAGAACTGGATAGGAAGAGAGCAAGTGATGCCAAAAGAGGAAAGGGGCTGGGTGCGATGGCTCATGCCTGTTATCCCAGCACTTTGGGAGGCCAAGGCGGGTTGATCACCTGAGGTCAGGAGTTTGAGACCAGCCTGGCCAACATGGTGAAACCCGCATCTCTACTAAAAAATACCAAAAAAAAAAAAATTAGCCAGGCGTGGTGGTGCACACCTGTAGTCTCAGCTACTCAAGAGGCTCAGGCGGAGAATCACTTGAACCCAGGAGGCGGAGGCTGCAGTGAGCCAAGATCATGCCACTGCACTCTAGCCTGGAAAACAGAGCAAGACTCCATCTCAGAAAAAAAAGAGAGAGAGAGAGAGAGAGAAGGGAAAACACAGAAAAAAAAAGCCCCAAACCCCAGTCATCCTGCAAAGGGCACATGCAGCTTCTCTCCAAAGAAGGGAATCTGGTTGACAGAAGAAATTGCCAACTAACCAAGCTCACAAGGCATGGTCAGGGTGAGGGAGGCATGCCTGAGAGCTCACTGCTTGTTGTATGAAGAAAGCACCACGCACAGTCAGCAGGACAACTGGTCTTTGCAATGGTCAATTTCATGTGTCAACCTGGCTAGACCATGGTGCCCATTTGTTTGGTCAGACACAATCTGAGTGTTTCTATGAAGGCATTTTTAAAATGTGATTAACATTTACAATCAGTTGAACTTAAAGCAAACTATCCTCCATAATATGCATGAGTCTTATCTGGTCAGTTGAAGGCCTTAAGAGCAAAGATCAAGGTTTCCTGAAAAGAGAAGGAATTCCACCCCCAGACAGCAACATAGACAGTCTCCCTGAGTTTTCAACCTTCAGATGCAGTACTGCAACATCAACTCTTACCAGAATTTCCAAGCTGCTCTATTTGGACTAGCCAGCACCCACAATTATGTGAGCCAATTCCTTGTGTATGTATGCATGTGTATGTGGCATGTATAAATTCCATTGGTTCTGTTTCTCTGGAGAACCCAAATACACTTAATAGACTGTTCCTCCAGGAGCCCAGATCATCTTTCTCAGGTCTCTCCTGAAAGCAAATGAGGTGAGAAAGCACTTCAGTTTAAGCGCTGCAGCCTGAAGTCAGGAGCTCTTCTTTAAGAGAAAAGAAATCCCCAGCCAGTCCAGGGATCTAAATGCTGGCCTTTTCCTCTTTAGGCTTATCTCAGTGAATGTCACCAGGCACACTCTAGCTAGCACCAGTCTGAAAAGGGGGAAGTACCAGGAAAAGGAAATATTGAAAGAAACCTGCACATGTCCAGTTTCTCCTGCTAGGGTTGCTTATGTGACTTTTTCAGAGAGCCCCCAGAAACTCCAAATAAACAGTCACATTGTTGAACCCACCTAAACTCTGACCCAGTTAGATGCAGCGGAGAGAGTGAATGAAACAAACACGAAGGTTTGCGGGTGTTTTAATCTTCTCCAAACACTGAAATGTTGTTGAGATGTTTTACCTTCCATTGCACACGAAGGAGATTAAAAAGCCATGATAAATATCGTGCTCTCTGGGAGGGAATGCCATATATAGGGCAATATATAATTTCCTGCTCTGGTACTATTTGGGATAAGTGTTCTGGTAATGTGAAAACAGGAGGAATATTAATTTAAGATTAAAGCGCCATTGTAAGCTCTGTCGTACTGTTAACTTCTTTTCAATGTTCCCCTGAATAATTCTACCTTTGCAAGATGGAATAAGCATACAATTAAAAACTGCATTAAATAAATGAATAATTAATTAACGAATAAAAAGGACTCTGAAAATAAAATGGGCCAGGCAAATTCTAAACAATAACTTTAACAACAGGCCAGATCTTAATCCTTCAGATACTTGAAGAACAGTATCGGGCTGCAGATAGATAGCATCTCTCTGTGGATGTAGATCTAGAACTGCTATGTTCTTTGTTCACACACTGCCCAGGGATAGCTTTAGGTACAGACACTGCGGGGAACTGAGGTGCTCCAGAGCAAGGCATAATTGACCAACCTGAGCACCACCCTACCTCTTCAACTTTATCACCCATGCCGCTTCTATAATGCCTGAAATTCTACACTTTCCTTTGTCCTCTAGCCAGAAGTTCTACCAGGGTGATTCTTCCATGGATTAGGAATTCAGTTGGAAAATGCAATGTTCCCATGGGAGAAATATTCCTGTATGGGTTAAAGATTGATGGTTCATTAGCACATTGATAATGAATTCCCTAAACAGATTGCTTTCCTCCCAACACTAATTGAGATCAACCTCTTTGGGGGAGTGGGATGAGGGCGGGGGGAGTGGGATGAGGGCAAGAGGAGTGGTCCAGTGCAGCAAAGAGAAATAGTAGGCTGAGAATGGTAAAACTGCTTGAGTGTGGCCTGGAGGAGAGGCATTCTCAGAGACCAGGTAGCCTAAGAGCATAAGATTCCATGATGAGCCACATGACATATCCACCAGGGAACTAAGACTTCCAGGACAAGACACATGGGTGTATTGCCTAAGATTGCCTTGATGTGCCAAATAAAATCAATATGATTATATTCATTTTATTCGTTGAGAAATTATTAACAATCTAAGACCACGCAATAATGTGGTAAACGGGAGAGAATAAATTAAATCTTTGTTTATCTGACCCTCAAATCCATGCTCTTTCAATCATACCACCTTTCACACAGCAATATTATGAGTATGGGATGATTGCCCCATTTTTAAGATGAGCAAATCAAGGCTTTCAGAGATTAAAAGAAGAGGCTGTTTCCAGATATGAAAACATCAGGCATGTCCGGTAACTGCAAATACTCTGGGTCCTCATACTAACTGTTAACATGGCAGGAGATGAGGCTAAAATGTTGTAGGTCTGCTGGGACCAGTGGCTCATGCCTGTAATCCCAGCACTTTGGGAAGCCAAGGTGGTGGATCATCTGAGTTCGGGAGTTCCAGACCAGCCTGTCCAACGTGGTGAAATGCCATCTCAACTAAAAATACAAAAATTAGCCAGGCATGGTAGTGGGTGGCTGTAATCCCAGCTACTTACGAGGCTGAAGCAGGAGAATTGCTTGAACCCAGGAGGAGGAGGTTCCAGTGAGCCAAGATCGCACCATTGCACTGCAGCCTGGGCAACAGAGCAAGACTCTGTCTCAAAAAAAAAAAAAAAATCTTGTAGGTGAAACTATGAAAACCAGGAAAAACTGCTGATGTTGACCACAAGCAACTGAGTCAGGCTTCCAAATCCTCACCTCCAGATTCTAACAGGATATTCTGACCTTGAACTAAGTCAAGTTGCAAAGCCTGGGAAAGAGTCCAAGCTACACTTGAAAGCATTGTTTTCACTGCAAATCAGCTTGCTCTAAGGGGCATTGATAAGAGCTGCAATTAACAGCTCTGTTATCAGGGGCCAATTACCAACATAAAATCCTGCAGTTATTAAAATTATCACTTAACTCTGGGAGAGGATTATGCGATAACCTACTTTGCCAGGTGCCAGGGAAAGAATGAGAACACTGGGATTAAGGAAAGGCCTGGGACTGACACCCAAAGAATGTTCTCATGAGGGCAACTATAGGCAGGACCCTATGGAAAGTTCTCCAAGGCTGAGTGCCCACCTGACCATGCCTTCTCAGCCAACTACCGCCCCCACCCAGCTTCCACTGGGTTCTCAGGCCATCCTGCTACCTGCTCTGCTCCAGCTATTGCTCCACCTTCTAGCTCATTTCCAGCTCCCTCTCCTCCTTTGACATCCTCCTCTCCTGGCAACTTCACCTACCACACTTTCCAGACCTGCTAGGTTCAAGGAAGGAGACTCAGCAAGACCCATCTTTCCTTGTCAACCCGTTTCCCCCAACCGATGTCCATCTCCCCTGTCTCTTCTCCTTTCTAGAGCTAATCTCATGAACTCACTCTGGTTCCTGCTACACCTCACCTTTAGCACTTATGCTCTGCAGAGGGTTGTGGCAATGCCTATGCCCATCAATTAATTAAGTTTCCACCGTGTTCTGGGCACTGTGGGGGGCCCAAGTATAGAGTGGTGAACAGAGAGACATCACCTTGGCCCTGCCAGTCTCCCATGGATTGTAAATGCCTTTGAAGGCAGGGCCCAAATTGTGTTCATCTATATAATCCTGGTCCCTAGTAAGGGCCAATATACCATGCATAGTAGTAGTCCAATAGCAATATTAAAGCTAAAAGGTATAATTACAGTTTACAGAGGTCTTTGATTATAGTCTTAAAGTGCTTAGATGTTAATGACCAGAAAAGAATCAATAGGCTTTCCACTGTAGATAATACATTTGCATCTTAATGAAAACTATTAATCCCTTAAACCTCACTCTCTGACCGTACTCTCCTCTAAGTCCTAATGGCTATCATTTCCATTCCTGGGAGGCCTAAACGGGTGATATCTGAGGAAGACCCTCCAAACTATACTACATTAATAGTCTTCTATTCTAGGCAGATAAAAACTAGGCATGGTTTGTCCCATCTGGACTCCTAAAACAATAGCTAATAAATAAAGTACCCTGCATTATATTTTTCAGGAATATACAACTTGAAAGCCAAAGCCAGATTCAACCCTCAGATGTTTTTGTAAGGCTGCACATCGTTTCATAAACTGAATTTTACAAAATGCATGTTTCCGTTTGCCACAGGCCTCACCATTCTCTATTACCTTACACCTGGCCCTAATCAACAGATTTGTTACTCACCTATTCCTCCCACTAGAAACATTTAGGTTTTTAAATCTCAAATAATATGTAACAGTTTAACACTAATCTGTTTACCACAATAACCCTGTGCACTAAGTAGGGAACTGTTATTATCGCAACTTTATAGTTGAGGAATCTGAAGCCTGGGGAAGAGGTGAATGACTTTCCCATTTTTTATTAAGTTTTTTTGTGGTCTGTGTCAGCCTGGTTTGGATAATAATGGCAATCACCAATGACTGTCTCCACAGCAGTGATGACCTCTAGGGTCTGGATTCCTTCCGGGATTTTTAACCTGGTCTCCAGACACCCCTATAGAGGTACTAGAAATGAGGCTTCAAATGTTCCATGGGTCCCTCGGAATAGCACACAATTTTGTGTGGATGTGCAATATGCTGAGGGAAATGCCTGTAGTTTCATCAGCTTCTCTCGGAATATGTTACAGTGGTGTGAGGCAACCACCTGGTTGGCAGTTGTTTCCTGGAGAAGATCTATCACCAGTCCACAACGTGCAAAAGCCATCTGGCAGGGCCTGGAAGGGTCCCTGGGGTGGGGGATTACAGTTAACCAAGTAAATGAATCATTATCTGTTCTTGCCAGTAATCCCCTGGCTTATCTCTGCAGCTGGAAGATGGGAGTATAACAGGATGGAGCAGTCTAGCTGGCCCTTAGGAGTGTCTCACCTGAAAGGGGTGCCAGGCCCTTTTTGAATTATCTGCCATGAATAGCAACATAAAATATTGCTCAGGAACAAAGAAAGGGGATAGAGAGTCTCAGCAAAATGTATCAGAACCAAAGCAGGTAAGGCACTGAAAGTTTCTTCAGGATGGTGTAAGGGGGCAAATCTAGAAGGCAAAAATGGCCACACAATACAAATTCAACAGGCCTCAGCAAGACCACCAAACGAGCCCCTTCTCCTGCTGGAACTCCTTCCCAGCCTTTGTCCTCACACTCAAACTCTTCATAATGCAGCAACCTTCCCTCAATCCATCAACATCAACTCCAAAGAAAGAATGCAAATCTGGTTTCACTAAAGTCTTAAAGGATTGATGAAGCTTAATAATGTCCTACTGTGCTTTTCCCTATGGACTTTGTGTTTTATGGGAATGAAATGTTAAGTCAAAGGAATTAATCTCTACCTGTGGAATTTCTAACATCAATCCACCATTGGGTGGGAACAAGACATTTTTGTTGCCTTTGAAAGAGCCTCTGGACAGGCATGAAGAAGGGCAGCCAAATATAGACTTGTATTTAGAGTCAAGAGAACAATTAAATTATCTTATATATTGGTTTTCTTATGGGTTTCCAGTTAAAAAAAAAAATCCTGGCTGGGCACAGTGGCCCAAGTCAATAATCCTAGCGCTTTGGAAGGCCAAGGTAGGAGGAGGCCAGGAGTTTGAGACCAGCCTGGGGAACATATTACAACAAGATTCCCCTCTCTATAAAAAATGTAAAATTTAGGTATGGTGGTACATGCCTGTAGTCCCAGTGCTTTGGGAGGCAGAAGTGGGACAATGGCTTGAGCCCAGATGTTCAAGGCTGCAGTGAGCTAGAATCACACTCCTGTACTCCAGCCTGCAACAGAATAAGACACTTTCAAAAAAAAAAAAAATCCTTGCCTTTAAAAGTGGAGAAAAGCCACTCATAAGTGGGTGTTGAACAATGAGAACACATGGACACAGGGAGGGAACAGCACACACTGGGGCCTGTCAGGGGTGGGGGACTAGCGGAGGGATAGCAAGGGGTTGGGGGATAGGGGAGGGATAGCATTAGGAGAAATAACTAATGTAGATGACAGGGGGATGGATGCAGTAAACCACCGTGGCACATGTATACCCATGTACGATCTGTACATATACCCCAGAACTTAAAGTATAAAAAAAAAAAGAACCAGAAAAAAAAAGCGGAGAAAAGTGGTTAAAACTACCAGGTTGGTATTTCTAAGATCTTTTAGCATCTAAATATATTTTTTTAATCTATGACTCTAAAGCTTTGATCTCTCTCATTCTTATCCTGTGCAAACCCCTCCACAAGTCTTGCCAAAATGTCCATGTGCTCAAGACACATCCAAGGAAAACGACCTTTAGGGCTTCACCCTCCTTCCCTGACCAATCTTACCCACCTGAGGCCAGCATTCCAGAAGCTTCAGTGTTCACCCCTCTGTTAATAACACTGTCATGTATCTGCTGGCTCTAGCCAAAACCCTTGGGGTCATCTTGGACGTTTCTCCTCCCCTGATCCCCACATTCAAGCCATTAACAAATACCACTGGTGCTGCCCTGAGAACACAACTGGAACCTGGTCCACTTCCTACCACCAACTCCCTGGCTTCCTGCCTGGGGCAAGACATCAGCACCTCTGGTCTGGACCAAAAAACAGCTTCCTCCCTGGCTCCCCTGCTTCCATCACTCCACTTCCCCATCCACAGCAGTCAGGATGATCTTTGTAAAATGGAAGCTTCATCACATATTTCCCCATGCTTAGAACTCATTGCTCTTTCCCAAACTCTTACCAAAGCCTGCAAGACCTTATATTCGTCCAGCTCTTGCACATTTTTACATCTCCATCTCCCACCCACGCTCTGATTCATTCCCTTCATTGTACTCACTGCAATCTGAAATTATCTCTCCCATTATTTATTCAGCAAACACTCTTTGAGCACCTAATATCTGGTGATCAGGGCTTATTTTGGGTTCTGGGAATACAGCAATGAACAAAATAGATTTTTCTAAAAGCCAGCCCTTGCAGAGTTCACATTCTAGTGTTTATACACAGGAGAATTTGTTTATTTGCTTATTGACTGTCTTTCCTGCTAGAAGGTAAGCTCCTTGGGAACAGGGACCTTGACAATCATGATCACAGCTGCATCCCCTATACTTAAAACTATGACTAATTGTAGATGTCCAATAAATATTTATTAAGTGAATAAACTAAAGAACATTTCTGGATTCAAGACTGGCTTTATTCTCTGTTCAGGATGGATATCTGATTACCCTTCACTCCAGAGGCGTGGAAAGCCAGCCCAGAAGCAATCCATGAGAAGGCCCTCCTCACTGGCCTTCATCCCATGCTGGGACACCCTGGGAGGCACTCCTGAGCCCACTTCTGAGTTTGAACAATTGGTCTGACCAAGGAGGATAACTGACTATTTCAAGTCCAGTGTCCAGCTCTGTCTCTCTGCCTTCCTGCAAGCCATGTGGAAACTCCCATCTTGGGGTTTCTGGCTGCCTGGGTCTCAATCATAATTCCATCCTCCCCAACTCCCTAGATGAGAGGCATCAGAGGGGGCCCTGCCCACGCTAGCCTGGGTAGCACTGGCTCTCTCCTTCGGGTGAATTCCGCAGCACCCACAGTCCATAGAAAGCCCTCCCATTCGAAGTCAACTAATTAAACTGATTGATGTTCACATCTTCAAACCCCTACTACCACCACCAC